AGTTTTAAAATCTGACCAAAAGATAAACCCTTACTACAGTGAGGTAAGAAAAACTGCAGCCATAGCCTCAGGCGACAGAGCAGGAGTCTTGTAATTCTCCAACATGAAACACATTGGTGGCATTTTTGTTTAAAAATTTCACAATGCTTCTAGGAAAGACCACAGTTTGGGGAGTATCCGTATGAGTCAAAAAAGTCTCTACAGTCACACTCCACCAGGTACAAGCTGAGCCATTGTTCACTTGGTTGGTCGTGTGCTTGTGTGTTGACCACAAAACCTTGGGGGAAGTCTCTGAGATTGACTGCCACCTGGGAGCCATTCGCAAGGAAGCACATCTAAGAAATTCTCTTGTGTGTAAGTGTCTGCTGATAAAACACACAATGGCTGTATAGTGTCCATATTCGCATGTAGTCAAAAGAACGTTTCTCCTCTGATTTATCTCTGGGTACGTCTATACTTACTTCCTGGTCCGGATGTAAGCGATCGATCTTCTGGGATCGATTTATCGTGTCTTATCTAGACGCGATAAATTGATCCCGGATCGATCCCAGAAGTGCTTGCCGTCGACGCCGGTATTCCAGCTCAGCGAGAGGAGTACACGGCATCGACGGGGGAGTCTGCCTGCCGCGTCTGGACCCGCGGTAAGTTCGGACTAAGGTACTTCGAATTCAGCTACGTTATTAATGTAGCTGAATTTGCGTACCTTAGTCCGAAGTGGACTAAGTGTACCTTAGTGTAGACCAGGCCTCTATGACACTGTCAAAAGCCCCATACACAATCATACCGATAGTGTCTGTCAAAGCCTTTGCAAAACGTATTTCTGGTCTCAGGTTCCCAGTTTTTATCAGGGAATAGTGATCAGCACATCCCTGGTTGGAAGATAGGTCAAAGGCAAACAAGGTGTAACTTGTGCAAACGCCTCATGGTTGATTAATAGAGTGATCTTCCATGTGTTTACCAGCCGTCTGCACCAGATTCATGTTTTCTCGTGCAGTTTCCGGCCCTGAAGTCTGGTTGCAGAGGTTTAGCTGGTATATGTTCACCATCCACACACAAGGCCACAAAATTAAGATTGTAATGTTTAAAGTGAAAGAGGTTTTTAAGTGTAATTTCCACTGTCTAGTTTTCCACATCTTCTGTAGCAGCATTCCCTTAAAGGCCAATTCAAAATTGAATGTCTCTTAACTAGAGTAAATAGACAGACCACCCACTTCTATACAACCAGGTATATAAGATTTATCAATCTCCACTTCACTGCTCTCTTTACAGTTTCAGCCATGGATCATGTGATGCCTGGGTTCGTGGAAAAGAAATTCATTCTTCCTGATATCAGCAAGAGCAATCTACCAACTCTTCAGTGAGCCTGAGAGAGACCAATATCGCAGATGAGAGATTCCCTTTGCTAACTTTTCTTTCAAGTTTCACACTGGAAGAATTTTTCATTGATTCAGTCTGCTTGCCCAGTGTCAAAGATCTGATGTGTATGCTGGTATGTTAATTTTGCTTTTGGATTCACTATTTCACTTTAGTTAGTCTTCGGTAAACTGTCATCACATTTTAGTGAAGAGCTGCGTACTGATCTTCAGTCTCCATATTTCCTTGCGAAGACATCAGCAGCTCTGCAACCATGTCTATTGTGAACACTTCACTTAGAAAATGTTATTCTCCTTTGTCTTCTCCCCCCGCCCCGCAGCCCATGCTTTACATAAGATCTAAATAATGCTGCATTCATGTCTCTTATGACATTTAGTGCACTCTCCTTTACAGGCTGGACACATTTTCCAAGAATGGTGTAGGTGTTTTTTTTTTTACTGTATCTTCCACAAGTAGTTTCCCATTCTTTGTAGACTGTCTCCAAATCTTCTGCTTGAGTTTTGTGCTTTTTGTTAAGTCTCACTACAAGTTTGTATTCTTGGGTTCACCTTTGATTTTATCTGTGAGTTTTTCAGACTTCCTAAAAATTGTACATCAGAGAGTTTCTTCACTATGTCATTTAGATCTGGAGTTAGGTTGGATGTATTCAAGTAGGTCACTTGCCATAATAAATATGAGACAGCTTACTTTGTATTTCTCATTTCCCACGCAACGATGCAAAATTGCTTGTCAAAGCCTATCCATTTTGACCATGCTGATTTATCAGCAAAGGGAAAACCTTCTGGAGGGATTATTATAGGAAATATTAGCTTCATTGCTCTTGAAGAAACTTATTTCTTTTACAATCTGCTACTTTTTATCCTGCTGCTTCTGTACCTTTAAGGCATCTTCTCCACCCCCTCCCACTTCTCCTGTGGTGATGCCTCTCATCCTTTTCTGTTTCTATGGGTCTGGGACACCTTGCTGAAGCTGTTCCGATGTGTTGCCCACAGCCCAGTTTCTTGAGAGAGTCTCTTCTCTACGTTCCTTTCTGAGGAAAATATATTTTTCTCTGGCCTCTGCTTTGGGTAGGAGTTTTTCTTGCCCTCCATCCTTCTTAGGACACTTAGTCTCTCTCTTCCCCCCACTGCCAAGTTTAGCTCTGGCGCCAGAACCAGGGGCTGCTACAGTGCTTGAGGATAAGGAAAATAAAATGTTCCCTGCTCATTGTAGTGGAATTTCACTGATTCTTTTTCTTTTATTTTCTCCTTTCTCTAGGAGATAGGATACAGCCATTTCTGTCACCATATTGCTTGTAGTGGGACACAGAAGAACTAGGAGCACACTCGGCAGCAGAGGTAAGAACTTTATTAGTGGTAAGCCAAAAGTGACACAGAAGAGTAAAAGCAGGGCTCACTCTTAAAGAGCCCTCCAGCACAATTATAATCCCTGTGGAATGAAATGGCTCCAGCAAAGGAAGATTTGACATTAATCACTTCAAGGGCCCAAGAAGAGAATTCAAGATGAGGAAGGTGCAAATCGTATCAGGGATCCTTTCCACAGGCAAATGGCAGAAGACGACCGCACATCAATTATTCAATCCAACTTCCAAGGAACCAGGGACGACCCCATAGGGACAACAATTCTTAGAACCGCTCCTTCCTAACTTCCTGCTACAATTTTGAAGGAACTGTATATGCATCCTCACAACAATATGCATCCTTTTTTCCTGTACAAACAGTATTTAACAAGAATTAAACTACAAATCAGAAATGCAGACATGTCACTGGTTTCACTACCTGTCCATATTGGTCATCTTTTGGTCCTGATGAGGGGTTTTCCCCCCCACCATAATCATTTGGATTATGAAAACCCAAAAGTTAAGAGACTCCAGTCCAATAGGCTTGGCATTCAACAGATCATCTCCTTTAGCGAAGGATGCAGTGAGACCCTTTCTACCTGGTGCTGCTCTCCATTGTTGTTTATTGTCTTTAGATTGTAAGATCTTCACTGTAAAAATAGGGTCTATATTTTTTCTGCGAATTGCCTGCATGCTGTCTGGTACTACAATAATTAATAAGAATATTAAATTTATGAACTGCTTACTCCCACCCCTTGTCCTTCTGTCTGTGTACAGCATTTTATTTCCCAAGGTCTTAAGAGCCTACATACTATTGCATAGTGCTCAGCACGTTGTGGGCATTACCAGAAACAAACAAATAATATAACATTGGCTCATTTCAAGTTCTAATGAGATGTGTTGGTCTACTGTCATCTTCACGTTTTATTTCTTATCACATCTGACCAACTTTTGTCTAACTAGCAGTCTCTGAAGTCAAAACTAAATACATTTTGGAATTCAATAGTTTAGCCTGGTCTCACCCTGAAAGGTCATTTCCATTTGCAGACCTTTTGAGAGTTAGTTTTTCACAAAAGAAGTCAAACACAAACATACAGGAACACAATCCATGGCATGCCTGCCTGTCACAAAAGATTTAAGCTTTCAAAACCGATAATCAATTTGGAAGCTGCTAATATTTGGATAGTCTACATTTATACTGTGTATGCAAATACACCATAAAACTAGACATTCTGACTACATGCTATCCATTTTCTCTTGTTTGTGAAACATTTAATTACTGCCTGGTTTATCATTCTTATATAAGCATGCTATTTTTTTCATCTGTAGAAGCTTCACTGATGTTATCATGCCTTGACGTTTGACAAAACTAAGTGAAATCAAGTTTTCTGGATTATTTTAAAACTGGAAATAATATAAATATAACCTGCAAAAGGAATGTAACAGAATACAAACAACTTTTTAAAAAAACGATTAAAGAAAAGACTACACAAAGCATACTTTCACTGTGATACTAGTGCTGAACAGAAGATTAGCAGTGGAAGACAAAGTTCTACATTGATCCTAAAATAGTTTCCAAGCTTTAGCTCCTTGTGGGAGATAAGGTGGAGGGGACAGGGTGAAGGAAGGGCATCCATGTGAAGAATCAGAGAGAAAGGGACTTGGCTTTACACAGTAGTACTGAAGAACTAGTCGTATACCTGTATAGTTTAGGGCAAAAGTTCTGGCTCATTTAGAGACTGCTACTGACGATACTCCCAATACAGATCCCTCTTAGATGAAATGAAGTAACCATAAGGTTTGCTACTACAGAACAATCATTTGGGGAAGAGATTCCAAAACAGAGAGAATCTCAGTACTCCACACTCATGAACCTGAATATCTATTAACAAAAGAATACAAGTAGGCTTTGTAAACAATTTCTACACCTGTACCTCTATGGGTTTAGGATTTTTTTTTAATAGTACCATATACGACCTGGTCCGTGTTTAAACAATAATTAAGAACCTAAAATATCACAATTTCAAAGTATCTAATTATCATTTCACCCTTGCTTTCTGCTTCTTTAGGTTTTTCTTCCCAATTATAACAAATTCTGATAATTTACTGCACTTGTGACAAAATGCCATACTCTGGTTACACACTGATCAAAATGACCTTTTAAAAGCTTTTGAGATCTCAGAATAGACATTATAGCAAAAGCTTTTAGATCTAGAAGTGTCAAACATTTTAAAAACCCATTTACTAGCAAAACCCATTTACTTTTATGGTTAGCATGTATTCTTACCTCAGGATCATCATCATCAAAATCATGGTACGTGGAATGATCAGGATTATTCATTTTATCCAATAATTCAATAGCAAGGGTTCGATTTAAGGGCTGTGTAACAAAAGGGTGCTAATTGACAAAGACAAGGGAAAAGAGAAAGTTTTAATTTAAACTTGAACACGGTAAGTTTAAAGGTACTTTCAGCTCAGAACTACTTCCAAAAATACAAACAAAAATCATACCTGTAGTAATTTTTCAGCTGTAGGTCTCTTCTTAGGATTTTTTGTAAGTGCCATTTTCACAAAGTGATGGAAATTATTTGACCTGCAAAATGAAATAGTGAACATTAGAATTCAGTAGTTTAGTGAAATGCATGATTAGTATAATATAATAAGAGAGCAAAATATGCTTACCATTTCATTTTGTCCTTTAGCTTGGGAGGCTGAAAGTTGCTTTTCGTCATTAAAAACAGTGCTCTGAAAACCGATAACATTTTTGTGATTTTTTTGTATTGTGATTATCCATTACTTTAAAAAAAATTATTTTTGGCTGCAATAAAAAAATCCATCAACCCAAAAAAGATGAGATTAGGCTACTTGTTTATGCAAAATGCAGCCATTACAAATTTTCATGTGTACATTTTGAAAACTTGCAGACAATACTACTGGCAATAACCACTCATATTACAAACATGTCTAGCCAACTATTTTAAAAAAATGTTAGTCACAGAGCTTTACAGCCTGCCATAAACAGATTTTATTTACCAACCTCATGGGATGCAAGTCAAACATAGGAGGCTGAAGTTCTGCAAGTTCTATAGCAGTTATTCCAACGGCCCAAAGATCACACAGTTGGTTATAGCCACCCTTCCTTTCAACTGCAGCAACTTCTGGAGCCATCCTAAAATATATATGTTTTTAAGAGAAAAGACATTTCTCTGTTTGAGTTAGTCGTGGAGAGAGATAAATCTAACACTTTTCAGTGTGAGTCAATGTTTT